CTGGATGAACACAGCAGGTCAAGCAGCATCATAGGAGCAGAGAGCCTCTCTGCTCCTATGATGCTGCTTGGCCTGCTGTGTTCATCCAGCCCTGCACCTTTTAAATTCACCCACAGGATGAGGGCATCGCTGGCTGGACCAGCATCTATTGCTTGATCTTTGCTGCCCTTGGGAAGGTGGTCATTATGAGCTGCCTACTTGGACCACAGATTACCACCGCTTTCATCAGCAATAAACGTTGACCAGCCAGCAACGCCCACCTCCTGCAAGTGAATAAATAATAATTAAGACAGAGCACAACAATTGTCATATTCCTTTCTCTGGGACTCAAGCTTGAAAGTTAAAAGTACCTTGAAGCGCTCAGTACACCCACTTTTACACTTGAAAAATAAGCATGAGGTAAAACTGAGGTTACTGGAGGCTTAGAAGAGAGCTAGAACAAATGGCAGTGACAACTAGATATGGGGAAAATTAGCTTATTCTGAATGTTTGATTAAACAGTCTGCAATAGTTTATTTTCCATTAAATGAACTGATGAATTTATTTCATTTAAATAGCTTCAAATGCATATTTTTCAGTGCTCATGAATACATGTAATTTAGCGGCCATTTCTAAATGATTAAATCAACCTAAACAAACACAAAAACAAGGAGCTGCAAATGCTTGAAGTTAGAAAAACAACCCCAGAAATTCCTGGAGAAACTCAGGAGGTCCGGCAGCGTCTGTGGAGAAAGATCAGGGTGATTGTTTGGGATCCAGTGACCCTTCTTGAGAAGTTCTGAAGAAGGCTCATTCGACCTGAAGTATAATGTTCTGCTGTGTCTGTCCATAGATACTGCCAGGCATGCTGATTTTCTCCAGCAATTTCTGTTTTTGTATCAAATCAATCCATCCATTTCAAAGAGGGAGGAAAAGGATCAGTCACAATAATGCTAAAGAGATCCTGAAATCAATATTCCAAAGAGATGAAAATGCATTTAAAATGTTATTGACAACCACATTCTGCACTGCTGAAAATCACAATCACAGTTGTTTCAAAACTCCTGCATTAATGGATTTGTCAAAGTGCTGAACAGTATCAGTTCCATTGACAGTTGGGGCTAAATTAGTAATAGACAAATCCCAGCTTGTGAAGCACGTGAATTTAAATTAACAGTGTGTGCATCTTCTTGAAACACAGTGCAGTACGTTAGACTGGAAGTATCGCAAAGACCTTCAGCTGCAAACAGATCTATCAGAGTCTTGTAAAAATTAGCATTTTAATTGCACAGAGCTCTGCTAAATTAATGGCGACGATGAAGTTAGAGCCGAGTGGTTCAATATTCACCGTTCTTGCCAGAAATCAATCCTCATAGGAGAGAAAATCCCAAACTGACACATCACAGAATTCACAAGGCAACAAATAAACCATACAAAGGATATTGGAGACAGCGTTAATTGGCTGCAGGAAAATGAGTAAACAGAATTCCTTTGATGATCCCCAATTGAACCAGGATCATCACAGAATACCAACATTTTAAAAGGCCGCAAGTCACTTAGAATATTGTAAGGGAATGTCCATATTTCCTGCCAGTTCCTGCAATTTGTTTAACAGAACATAGCATACAACTGTAGGTACCCCAATCTCTAATATTCATGGTTTGCCAGCATCCATTTGCCTTATTGCAGAAATCATTAGCAAATAACTAAAATATTAAGTAAGTAGTTTGATTTTTGGCAGGAAAAAAATACTCAATGGCTAAGAGCTGGTAATATCAAGTCTTCTCCAATGGAGCTAGTGTCTGGACAAACAGCAGTTATCCTTGCATACTAGCTAACGAAGAACTCTCATCTTAGAACTATCAGCTTTTATCCAACAGGTCAAGTTGTCCCAAATTCTTGACTCTTCCTTTAAAATTCCAATTATTTTGGAGTCTATTGAAATTTAGAATTATCCTACCATAAGTTGTTGGGATCTCTGAACTGTGGATCTCTTTCTGCTATGTTCTGGTCGTTGTACAAACTGAAACTGACCTCTGCTACAGAACAATCAAACTAGGCATTCGCAATCACTGATTAGTCCCCAGATGGCATTGTCTCCTCTTCCAGGGAGTACTGAGGAACAGAACGACATTGGTGTATAGATCCATACATCCCAGGAGGTGTCCACACAGGTGGTGAAGAAGGCACACAGGATGTTTGCCTTCATTAGCTGGAGCATAGAATAGAGGAGCAAGGATGTTTTGTTATAATTTTATAAAATTTTAGTTTGGCAACAGGTGGAATACCGTGTGCAGTTCTTGTCAGCACACGAGCCGAAGGGTGTGATAGCACTGAAGAGGGTGCAGAGACGATCCACCAGGATGTTGCCTTGGATGGAAAGTCTTAGTTATGAGGAGAGACTGCATAGACTGGGTTTGTTTTCCCTGGAGCAGAGGAGGCTGAAGCGGGTGTAACTGAGGTACACAAAATTATGACAGTCACAGACAGCGTAGATCATGAGAACATGTCTAAGACCAGAGGGCACAAGTTTAAGGTGAGGAGCAAGTGATTTAGAGGAGATCTGAGAAAAAATCATATGCCCAGAAGGTAGTAGAAATGTAGAATGTGCTACCTGAGTGGATGGTGGAGGCAGAAACTTTCACAGCACTGAAGAAGCATCCGGATGAGCACTGAAAATGCCAGGGTAAGTACTGCCAAGCACGGGTAAATGGGATCGGTGTAGTTTGGTGCTTGTTGGTCAATATACTGTATGAGTTGATGACTCTCAGATGCATTAGAGATTTTCGTGCATGAATAAGAACAGGGACGTCAGTCATGTATAGAGACTAGACAGAAGGTTAAAGGGAGATCCGCAAAGAGAGGTGTTCAAAAATTGTAAGGACTTTTTACAGAGTAGCTCACGAGATGCTCTTTCCACTGCCATTAACCAGAGAACACAGATTGAAGGCTAGTTGACAAGTGGACAGATCAGAAGAGTAAACTTTATGCAACAAGGTTAATCTGATGATTTGGAAAGCACAGCCTGAATGGCCATTGGAAACTGATTCAGTAGTAATTTTCAAAAACAAATTTGATAAAATTTGAAAAGGGAACAATTGCAGCGATATGGGTAACATGGAGGGGAGTGTGATAGATTGGGCTATCTTCAAAGAGCTAGCACAAGTACTATGGCCTGAATGACTTTGTTCTGTGCTATACTATTCCTTGCCAAACCTGGAATGGACCTGCTCAGGTCCAGCATCCATCTTCCTTGCTCATTCCCACCGTTAAATAAACATTGCTGCTTGGAATGCAAAACAAGGGGAACTAGTTTTTTTCTGTAATCAAAGCATTATGCAAATGCACGCAATTAAGAATCCCATTAATGCAGCTATATGATGAAGACTGTTACAATTCTAATTAGCGCTGATCATTTAGTCTGATTATTTCACACAATCGTGTTAATTGGACACTGAAAAAGGAAGAGTCTTGATTGCACTCCCCATTACAGCAAGAAAGCAGTTACCATTCATAGTCAAAATATGTGGCTAAATGATGTCAGTCATGGCAATAATGCTCTAAATTGGTGCCATGTAGCACCAGTTGTCAATTCCCATCAGCAGCCTGTAGGCTCAATACATTATTTGCCTTTCTGTTGAGCCAAGCACATTGACATATCATTCATGTGTTTTTACAACTAAAGCATCATTGAAGTGCTTTATCCAATCAGAAAGTTTTGTTTGTTATTGGGGAGACCAGGTCAAGGGCCCATGGTCGGCACAGTGGCTCATTAGTTAGCACTGTTGCCTCATGACACCAGAAACCTGAGTTCGATTCCATCCTCAGGTTACTGTCTGTGTGGAGTTTGCACATTCTCCCCATATCTGCGTGGGTTTCCTTCAGGTGCTCTGGTTTCCTCCCACAGTCCAAAGATGTGCAGGCTAGGTGGACTAGCCGTATTAAATTGCCCATAATATTCAGGGATGTGCAGCTGAGGTGGATTAGCCATGGGCAATGCAGGGTTAGAGGTGTAGAGTGGGTGCATAGGTCTGGGTGGGATGCTGTTTGGAGAGTCAGTGTGGACTTGATGGGCTGATTGGCCTGCTTCCAAACTGTAGGGATTCTATGATTCTATAAATATCAGATTGTTGCTAGTAAATCCTACAGGCAATTAGTAGAAATGTTATTTCATTTAGAGACAGGTTCAAACATGGAAGTACAAAGAGCAGTTGAGATGAATACATGACAATATTTAAGGAAAAGTTGGATAAGTTGAAGAGCATGCTTGAATTTCAAATTCAGTTGGAGGGTGAGAAATTGGAGTCTTGCACTCGTGTCCTGAAGTAACTTCATAGGCATGAGGACCGAGTTGGGTGGGAAGACTGAAAGGTAGAACAGTTGATGAGCAGTGTCAGGTGTTTAAGAAAGTATTCAATTCTTCCCAACTAAAATGTATTCCAGAGAGGAAAGAAGATTGTAGCAGTGTGTGTGGGGTTGTGGGGATGGGAGTGGAAACATACTTGGCTAAGCAAGGAAGTTAAAGATAACATAAAGAATAAAAATAAGGCATAAGATATTGCAAAGATGAGTGGCAAGGTGGGAGATTGGGAAACCTGTAAAGATCAACAAAAGGTTGTGAAAAGCATCATAAAAAGTCCAAAGGTAAATTGGGAAAGATAACTATTATAAAATATTAAAAATGGATCACAAAAGCTTCTGTAAAGTATATAAACTGTTTCTATAAATTGTTGAAGGTGAATGACAAAGTAGGCATAGAAAGGATGTTTCCTCATGTCGGGCAATCTACCAGAGGTCATAGCTTTAGGATAATGGGTGGCAGATTTAAAGCAGAGATAAGGAGAAATTACTTTCCTCAAAGGGTCATGAATCTGTGGAATTGACGCCCCCAGAGTGCAGTGGATGCTGGGACATTGAGTAAATTTAAGGAGGAGATAGACAGATGTTTAATTAATGGTGGGGTGAAGGGTTATGGAGAGAGGGCAGGAAAGTGGAGTTGAGGCCAAGATGATATCAGCCATGATTGGATTAACTGGTACAGCAGGCTTGAGGGGCTGAATGGCCTCCTCTGGCTCTTAGTTATTATGTCCATCTGTTCTAAGAGGGATAATGGTTTAGATGGAGGTACCAATAGGATTAAATGAGGGAGGAGGCTCACGTGGGACATAAATACACGGGCCTGTTGAATCGAATGGCCTTTTGACGTGCTGTAAATATTACACCAAGTATAATTTATCATGAAACTAATGTGGCAGGGGGATAGGAACCAAATGAGGAAGTTAGTGGACAATAAGGAGGTAATAACTAAAGCCTGTAAGGAACTAGATAATGAAGTCAGTGTGACTAAGGGGAAGAGTAGGCAGAGAGCAGATGATGAACGCAAAGGGACAGATGGTCTGAGGTGCATTTGTTGTAATGCAAGAAGTGTAGTAGGTAAGGCAGATGAACTTAGGGCTTGGATTAGTACCTGGGAGTACGATGTTATTGCTATTACTGAGACTTGGTTGAGGGAAGGGCAAGATTGGCAATTAAATATCCCAGGATATAGATGCTTCAGGCGGGATAGAGAGGGAGGTAAAAGGGGCGGAGGAGTTGCATTACTGGTCAAAGAGGATATCACAGCTGTGCTGAAGGAGGGCACAATGGAGAATTTGAGCAGTGAGGCAATATGGGCAGAGCTCAGAAATAGGAAGGGTGCGGTAACAATGTTGGGGCTGTACTACAGGCCTCCCAACAGTGAGCGTGAGATAGAGGCACAAATATGTAGACAGATTATGGAAAGATGTAGGAGCAACAGGGTGGTGGTGATGGGAGATTTTAATTTTCCCAACATTGACTGGGATTCACTTACTGTTAGGGGTTTAGATGGAGCAGAATTTGTAAGGAGCATCCAGGAGGGTGTTATAGAGCAGTATGTAAATAGTACAACTCAGCAAGGGGCCATACTGGACCTGGTATTGGGGAATGAGCCCGGCCAGGTGGTTGAAGTTTCAGTAGGGGATTACTTTGGGAATAGTGATCACAATTCCGTAAGTTTCAGAATACTGATGGACAAAGACAAGAGTGGTCCTAAAGGAAGAGTCCTGAATTGTGGGAAGGCCAACTCTAGCAAAATTCGACAGGAGCTGGGGAATGTGGATTGGGAGCAGCTGTTTGAGGGTAAATCCACATTTGATATGTGGGAGGCTTTTAAAGAGAGGTTGATTAGAGTGCAGGACAGACACGTCCCTGTGAAAATGAGGGATAGAAAGGGCAAGATTAGGGAACCATGGATGACAGGTGAAATTGTGAGACCAGCAAAGAGGAAAAAGGAAGTGTACATAAGTTCTAGGTGACTGAAAACAGACGAAACTTTGGAAGAATATCGGGAAAGTAGGACCAATCTGAAACGAGGAATTAAGAGGGCTAAAAGGGGTCATGAAATATCTTTAGCAAACATGGTTAAGGAAAATCCCAAAACCTTTTATTCATACATAAGGAGCAAGAGAGTAACTAAAGAAAGGGTTGGCCCACTCAAGGACAAAGGAGGGAAGTTATGCGAGGAGTCAGAGAAAATGATTGAGATTCTTAATGAGTACTTTGCGTCGGTATTCACTGAGGAGAGGGACATGATGGATGTTGAGGTTAGGGATAGATGTTTGATTACTCTAGGTCAAATCAGCATAAGGAAGGGGGAAGTGTTGGGTATTCTAAAAGGCATTAGGGTGGACAAGTCCCCAGGTCCGGATGGGATCTATCCCAGGTTAGTGAGGGAAGCGAGAGAGGAAATTGCTGGGGCCTTAACAGATATCTTTGCAGCATCCTTGAGCACGGGTGAGGTCCCAGAGGACTGGAGAATTGCTAATGTTGTCCCCTTGTTTAAGAAGGGTCGCAAGGATAATCCAGGTAATTATAGACCGGTGAGCCTGACGTCAGTGGTGAGGAAGCTGCTGGAGAAGATACTGAGGGATAGGATCTATTTACATTCAGAAGAAAATGGGCTTATTAGTGATAGGCAGCATGGTTTTGTGCAGGGAAGGTCATGTCTTACCAACTTGATAGAATTCTTTGAGGAAGTGACAAAGTTGATAGATGAGGGAAGGGCTGTAGATGTCATATACATGGACTTCAGTAAGGCGTTTGATAAGGTTCCCCATGGTAGGCTGATGGAGAAAGTGAAGTCGCATGGGGTTCAGGATGTACTAGCTAGATGGATAGAGAACTGGCTGGGCAACAGGAGACAGAGATTTGTAGTGGAAGGGAGTTTCTCAAAATGGAGAACTGTGACCAGTGGTGTTCCACAGGGATCTGTGTTGGGACCATTGTTGTTTGTGATATACATAAACGATCTGGAGGAAGGTATAGATGGTCTGATTAGCAAATTTGCAGATGACAATAAGATTGGTGGAGTAGCAGATAGTGAAGGGGACTGTCGGAGAATGCAACAGAATATAGATAGATTGAAGAGTTGGGTGGAGAAATGGCAGATGGAGCTCAATCCAGGCAAATGCGAGGTGATGCATTTTGGAAGATCCAATTCAAGAGTGAACTATACGGTAAATGGAAAAGCCCTGGGGAAAATTGATGCACAGAGAGATTTGGGTGTTCAGGTCCATTGTACCCTGAAGGTGGCAACGCAGGTCGATAGAGTGGTCAAGAAGGCATACGGCATGCTTTCATTCATTGGACGGGGTGTTGAGTACAAGAGTTGGCAGGTCATGTTACAGTTGTACAGGACTTTGGTTCAACCACATTTGGAATACTGCGTACAGTTCTGGTCGCCACATTACCAAAGGATGTGGATACTTTGGAGACGGTGCAGAGGAGGTTCACCAGGATGTTGCCTGGTATGGAGGGCGCTAGCTATGAAGAGAGGTTGAGTAGATTAGGATTATTTACATTAGAAAGACAAAGGTTGAGGAGGGACCTGATTGAGGTCTACAAAATCATGAGAGGTACAGACAGGGTGGATATCAAGAAGCTTTTTCCCAGAGTGGGGGACTCAATTACTAGGGGTCACGATTTCAAGGTGAGAGGGGAAAAGTTTAAGGGAGATATGGTTGGAAAGTTCTTTACGCAGAGGGTGGTGGGTGCCAGGAATGTGTTGCCAGCGGAGGTGGTAGAGGCGGGCATGATAGCATCATTTAAGATGTATCTAGACAGATACATGAATGGGCAGGGAGCAGAGAAATACAGATCCTTGGAAAATAGGCGACAGGTTTAGATAGAGGATCTGGATCGGCGCAGGCTTGGAGGGCCGAAGGGCCCGTTCCTGTGCTGAAATTTTCTTTGTTCTTTGTTCTTTGTTCTATGAAGCTTAAGGAAAGTACACAACAAATTGGAAGAATTCAACAAAATGCTGACATGAAGTAAAATCATGAGCCTCTAAATCCTGGCACAGACCTCCACAAAACATGAGGATTTTCAAAATTGGGTTTAACAAACTTGTTGGGATGTTTTGAAGAGGCAACAGAAAGACTTGGTGAAGGTAACACAGTTGGATTTCTAGGAGGGATTTGATACAATGTCGTTCAAAGTTTTGGCAAAGATCTGTAGCTTGGGTTGTGGGTGAGGTTGTTGACTTGCTCACTGAGCTGGCTTGTTCTCTTTCAGACATTTCATCACCATGCTAGGTGACATCATCAGTGGTCCCTCCAATGAAGCGGTGTTATTCTACTCCACTTGGAATTTATACTGTTAGGTCCATTATGGTGAGAAGTGTCATTTCTGGTTTTGTTCTGTATGGGTTTGTATATGGGGTCCAATTCGATGTGTTTGGTGATTGTATTATGGGTGGAGAACCATGCCTCTCGGAATTCCCATGTTTGTCTATGTTTGGATTGGGCTAGTATAGTTACCTTTGTCCCAAGCCAAACATAGACACACACGGGAATTCCGAGAGGCATGGTTGTCCATCTGTAGTGTAATCAACAAACATATGTAATTGGACACCATATACAAATCCATACAGATCAAAACCAGAAATAACACTACTCACCATAACAGACCGAACAGTATAAATTCCAAGCAGAGTAGAATAACGTCACTTCATAGGAGGTTCCACTGATGATTACACCTAGCATGGTGACGAAACATCTGAATGAGAACAAGCCAGTTCGACGAGCAAGTCAACAACTTTACGATGTCACTCAACCAAAACTGGTTTTCAGAGCTTAGCAGCTCAATGCAGGGTGTGTTGTTGGCATGGGAGAGGAAGCTCCACCTTTCTTGCCACCAGATTTGAAGATACTGCTGGTAGTATAGCACCAGGGCTTTGAGGCCTGCTGTGGGCTTACTATGGCTGTGAAGCCTATCACAGCATAGGAACATTGATCTTGGTCTCCTGTTTGACATTCTGGCCACCAAATACTCTTTTCCTCACTGAGCTGAGCTGAAATTGGAGGTGACGATGAATTTCAATGAGATCCAAACAAATGGTCTGCATTTTTGAGGATATTACCATTGATCTTAATCGATGTGTGTTGGTGCTGTGCTGTGAAAACTGGTTGGAAGAACACTTTGTTTGCCATGGGATTAGTGAAGCTTAGTTTCCTCATATGTTTCAAAGGAGTTATTGACAAGCTAATGAGTGAGTTTGGAGTGATGTTTGGTTTTGGATTGAAGGTGTCGGAAGGTGGAAAAGTTTCCTAACTTCACTATGCAATGTCACCGTGCTTGTGAGTAATTTTTGGGAGATGAGTTGATGTTTTGCACTGAGGATAATGGAAAAGAGAGTTGGTGCAATGATACAACCTTGTTTGTCCCCAGTCTTCTTGGCAATAGAGTCTTCAATAGTTCTGTTGGTGACAAAAGCAGCTTGCATGTCATTGTGCAGTAAGCAGTTAATGGTTACACCTTTCTAAAGTCAGCAAAATGGGAGAAGGATACTCCATAAATCTTTACAATTGACAGAGTGAAAGGCTTTAATTAATTTTTTAAAAGCTCATGTACAGTAGTTGCTGCTGTCCCTTGCATTTTTCTTGGCTTTGTCATTTTGTGAAATGTCTGTGTTACTTCTCACTGTGTAAAAACTGCTCTGCGACTCTGGAAGGAACTTTTCAGGCACTGGGGAGAGGTGACTGAGGAGGATCCATGCAATGATCTTCCTTGTGGCAGACAGCAGGGAGACTTCTCTATAGGTGGCTCTGTGCTGGGATAGTGCTGAAACTGAGCTGAAGAGGGTATTAAGGAAGAAAGGTGAGGATGTTTCAAATCAAAAATAACTCTGTTGGACCATAACCTGGTGTTGTGTGACTTCTGATTGTTTCAATTCAAAGAGAGAGTCCCAGGTCTTCCGGTCTCTGGAGCATTCCGGTCTCTGGAGAATTGGAAGGAACTGTCTAACTTCTGGGTAACCAACCAAATGGCCCCATAACCATTCACACTGATCCTCACCCCCACAATCAATGCCCCGATTAAACCCCTGATTATCCCCCTCACCTCTGGACTCATTCATGACCCATCCCACATATGCCCAGCCCAACACGGCGTTCACCACACTATTCTCCAGTACAAACCCAGCAACCTCCTGACCTGACAACTGCTCTCAACCCAACATCCTTCCTACCTACTTACACGTCTCATGGACCTGCCAGCTAACACCACTGCCATGCAGGCAGCCAGGTACCCTGGGCATTACTTTACCCACCCTACCCTACTTCCTCACCCAAGCGCTTCCCCCACCCTACCCTACTTCCTCACCCACTCACTTCACCCACGCTACCCTACTTCCTCACCCAAGCACTTCACCCACCCTACCCAACTTCCACACCCACTCACTTCACCCACCCTACTCTACTTCCTCACCCACTCACT